ATGTATACAGTGTGACATTGTGTTATCAAATGATGTATACAGTGTGACATTGTGTTATCAAATGATGATGTATACAGTATAACATTGTGTCATCAAATGATGTATACAGTATGACGTGTTATCAAATGATGTATACAGTGTGACATTGTGTTCTCAAATGATGATGTATACAGTGTGACATTGTGTTATCAAATGATGTATACAGTGTGACATTGTGTTATCAAATGATGTATACAGTATGACATTGTGTTATCAAATGATGTATACAGTGTGACATTGTGTTATCAAATGATGTATACAGTATGATATTGTGTTATCAAATGATGATGTATACAGTATGACATTGTGTTATCAAATGATGTATACAGTGTGACATTGTGTTATCAAATGATGTGTACAGTGTGACATTGTGTTATCAAATGATGATGTATACAGTATAACATTGTGTTATCAAATGATGATGTATACAGTATAACATTGTGTCATCAAATGATGTATACAGTATGACGTGTTATCAAATGATGTATACAGTGTGACATTGTGTTCTCAAATGATGATGTATACAGTGTGACATTGTGTTATCAAATGATGTATACAGTGTGACATTGTGTTATCAAATGATGTATACAGTGTGACATTGTGTTATCAAATAATGTATACAGTGTGACATTGTGTTATCAAATGATGTATACAGTGTGACGTTGTGTTATCAAATGATGTATACATTGTGACGTTGTGTTATCAAATGATGTATACATTGTGACATTGTGTTATCAAATGAGTAACAGTGTGACATTGTGTTATCAAATGATGATGTATACGGTACGACATTGTGTTATCAAATGATGTATACAGTGTGACATTGTGTTATCAAATGATGATGTATACAGTATGACATTGTGTTATCAAATGATGTATACAGTATGACACTGTGTTATCAAATGATGTATACAGTGTGACATTGTGTTATCAAATGATGATGTGTACAGTGTGACATTGTGTTATCAAATGATGTATACAGTATGACATTGTGTTATCAAATAATGTATACAGTATTACATTGTGTTATGAAATGATGATGTATACAGTGTGACATTGTGTTATCAAATGATGTTGTATACAGTATGACATTGTGTTATCAAATGATGATGTATACAGTATGACATTGTGTTATCAAATGATGTATACAGTGTAACATTGTGTTATCAAATGATGTATACAGTGTGACATTGTGTTATCAAATGATGTATACATTGTGTTATCAAATGATGTATACAGTGTGACATTGTGTTATCAAATGATGATGTATACAGTGTGACATTGTGTTATCAAATGATGTATACAGTACGACATTGTGTTATCAAATGATGTATACAGTGTGACATTGTGTTATCAAATGATGTATACAGTATGACATTGTGTTATCAAATGATGATGTATACAGTGTGACATTGTGTTATCAAATGATGTATACAGTGTGACATTGTGTTATCAAATGATGTATACAGTGTGACATTGTGTTGTCAAATGATGTATACAGTGTGACATTGTGTTATCAAATGATGTATACAGTGTGACGTTGTGTTATCAAATGATGTATACATTGTGACATTGTGTTATCAAATGATGATGTATACAGTACGACATTGTGTTATCAAATGATGTATACAGTGTGACATTGTGTTATCAAATGATGATGTATACAGTATGACATTGTGTTATCAAATGATGATGTATACAGTGTGACATTGTGTTATCAAATGATGTACACAGTATGACATTGTGTTATCAAATGATGATGTTTACAGTATGACATTGTGTTACCAAATGATGATGTATACAGTATGACATTGTGTTATCAAATGATGATGTATACAGTATGACATTGTGTTATCACATGATGATGTATACGGTGTGACATTGTGTTATCAAATGATGTATACAGTGTGACATTGTGTTATCAAATGATGTATACAGTGTGACATTGTGTTATCAAATGATGTATACAGTACGACATTGTGTTATCAAATGATGTATACAGTGTGACATTGTGTTATCAAATGATGTATACAGTATGACATTGTGTTATCAAATGATGTATACAGTATGACATTGTGTTATCAAATGATGATGTATACAGTATGACATTGTGTTCTCAAATGATGTATACAGTATGACATTGTGTTATCAAATGATGTATACAGTGTGACATTGTGTTATCAAATGATGATGTATACAGTATGACATTGTGTTATCAAATGATGATGTATACAGTGTGACATTGTGTTATCAAATGATGTATACAGTATGACATTATGTTATCAAATGATAATGTATGCAGTGTGGCATTGTGTTATCACATGATGACTTGTACAGTTTGGCATTCATTGTGTTATCACATGATGTATACAGTATGACAGTGTGTTATCAAATGATGATGTATATATTGTGACATTGATCACTTATAAAGTGTGACATTCATTGTGTTATCAATTGATATTGTATACAGTTTAGCATTCATTGTTATTAAATGATGACATATACAGTGTGGCATTCTCTTCTTTATGGACTGGATATGGCTTTTACGGCCCGAGGTCTTGCGGCGGATCTGATTCAAGATGGCCGAATAGCAGCCATTTTTGTGCTAAAAAATCCTAAAAATCAAGCATTTCTCGGCTGTTTACAGATGGATTTTGTTCAAACTTGGTATATATATTAGACGTTATGGGACCATGATGCAAATAATTTTGTTTTTCAACCGACTGGCGGCCATTTTGTTTTAATGAATGTGGCTCTTGTGCCCTATCTCTGACTTGTTTTGACTGATTATATTCAAATTTTAAATATTCATTATACATCATGTCATAGATAGACAGATTTATTGGTTTGACGATCCTATTCAAAATGGTCAAATGGTGGCCATTTTTGTGCTAAAAAATCATCAAATATCAAGCATTTCTGGATGGATTTCGTTCAAACTTGGTACATACATTAGGCGAGTTCCCGATGCACGTCATTTTATTTTTCAGATTGGATTCAAAATAGCTGATTGACGGCCATTTTGCTTTAATGATTGGGGTTCCAGAGCCATATCTCTTAAATGCTTTGACTGATTATATTCAAATTTTATATATTCGTTATACATCATGTTATATATATACATGTATTCAAAATGGCTGAGTTTGAATGCTGTTCCAGAGCAATATCTCTCAATATGGACAAGTACTTGTTTGACGATCAGATACAAATGTCAATCATTTTAATGTTAAAAAATCATATTCCTGACATGGTTATATTCCAGCTATATTACTATAAACAAAACTATATATCGTAAATTTGATAACTAACGGGGGCTGTGCCATGCATAGCTTGTTAAATGATGATGTATACAGTTTGGCAAGTTCAAGTAACAATTGTGTCAATTGGTTTACCAGGTGTCAAGATTCCTACATCTACAACATCTATCAAAACAATAGTTGTCACATCACCGATGGCAATAAAGACAACAAGGGGTCCAACAATAACTGGACAAGAACGTACATCGCCCGGTAACCGCACAGGTAAGAGTTGAAAATACCACGTTATTGTACCCTACACAGTAGTTGGTGTACAATGAGACTTACATTATTGTGATGGAACACTGGGCCGTTTTTTTAGTGGTGTATGACAAATTATTTCTTCTATTTTCAGGAAATAATGGTCAGATACAATTATGGCAATTTCTGTTGGAGTTATTAACAGACAAAGATGAGAAAGATTGCATTTCTTGGGTCGGTGACAATGGGGAATTTAAATTGAATAATCCAGAGTTGGTGGCACAGAAATGGGGAGCGAGGAAAAACAAACCCACTATGAACTACGAGAAATTGAGTCGAGCACTGAGATACTACTATGACGGGGATATGATTGCAAAAGTACATGGAAAAAGATTTGTTTACAAGTTTGTGTGTGATTTACGGAACCTATTAGGATACAATGCTGCAGAGTTGAATAAACTAGTGTCAGAGTGCGTGTTGAAACAACAACAAAGAGTAGCTAATCGATACAGATCACCTGATAAATAAGTTTTATGATACTGCATCATACATGGCACTAAACCACTGTGTGGCTATAGCAGACTGACAGCTGTGATGACTTATAGTTGCTACAATGAACATTCCACCCTATATTTATCATCCTTGTTAAACACATATGTGGAATGTCTGGTGATCACCTTGAGTTCATAGACTGTATACATCAAATACAGGCATTGACACAAATGACCCACTGAGCACTCGGAAGGATGGAGTTGTGACCGTTTCGTAACATTTTGTATATACTTATTAAGTAAGTTATGCTGGGAAGAAACAATCCTTTTGCAGTCCCTCCCCATCATGAAGAAACCTCACAAACTGATCAGTATGTGTACATCAATCAATCCAAGAATACTACTTGGTCGCATGAGAACTTCAAAGGCTGACTGTTGACGTTTGTCTTTCATAGTTAACACATGTTTTCCATATCCTTGTACACCTGAACGCAACAGATATTTTTGTGAATTATAATATTAACACAATTTGACCACATAATCTTGCATGAATCATTCACTTCAAATACTCTTTAAATGTTGCAAGTAAACATTATGTATAAATACAATATATCATTTCCTATTCTACTTTTATTATACGAATTTGAGACTTTCACTGCTCTGATATGAACGCATATAAATATTTTAGACTTGCACCACTGAGATATGAACACATAAACATTCCCATTCATTTTCAGAATAAAGCTGTTTAACAAATCATTTTACAAGCAGCAATGCTCAGTTTTTTTATATGGCAGTTTTATGTCGACTTGATACACATACTGCATACTGTAGAATATTGTTTTAGGTGAGCGAATTACTTTTTGATTGAGTCAATTGAAAGCTGTGTTACAGCAAGTCTCAGAAATATTGGGGCAGCCAATTTACAAACTCGCTAGCAAATTGGCTAACTGCTTGGGTTTTGACTGAACAGTTGGCTTTTGAATCTTGCTGGCGCCGTCTCATGGTTGCGTCCACTCTGGGCGAGTCTATATTGCATTAGGGAACATGGAATGCTTTTACGTAGCCTGGTACATGTCTGGATTCCTCTTAAATGATTTGCTTCGCGAGGCGTGATAATGTGAAAGTAGTTTCCCTGGTCTGCCTGAGAATGGCCCCAGTCAGCTGGCGTACAAGTGATAATATGATAAATGCGATTAATCCACCGATATTTACTATATGGTGGTAGCCATCTTGAACACTGATTGAAACTAACAGTTGCCTACAAATCAAGGAGAAAATAAATTTTCACATCCAAACGATTTGTTGGGTTAACATTAAACCAACCGCTAATAAAATTCGACCTCATTTCTCGTGTTTGCATGGACAATTCCTGTATACGAACACATCATTACACAAAGAAAATAGAACACTTTCCCTGGTATATTTGAAAGCGAAATCGCAATCCAACTAAAGTATGACAACCCTTACTGTTATATAGATTCAACCAGAGTGGGTGTGACCACATGACAGTGCCAGCGAGTTTAGAAAGCCAACCGTTCAGTCAAAACCAAAGCAGTTAGCCAATCAATCAAGTTTTTATTTCTGATATTTATTACACATGAGTTGTACTATATACCATAAAAAAAATCTAGACGCCTAGACCCTCAGAAAGTGGTCAAACAGCCACTTCCGGTTTTATTTCAATCCAATATGGCTGCCAAACTAATTGGCCAATCAAAATTCTGAAAGCATGTTGCACCAGTTCACATTAGGGACTATCAGTATAGAGCATTATCAGACCATTCCGTTCAGCGGTTTTCTCAAACGGCTTGACGAAAAAAGTTACGGAAGAAAGAAAGAAGATGAAGAAAAAACCGAACAATAAGAATAGGGGCCACGCCCTACAGGCTTGGGCCCCTAATTACATTAAAATACAATTTGTGACCAGAAATGAATAACAATGAAGTTAAGTAATTACATAATACTACATGTACTTTATTACTAGTAATGTCAATAACCTAAAATGTTACATGAATTGTATAAAAGTTTCTAAAAATACAAGTCAACATTTTGGCAGGAAAAGAACATGTCAATTTTTGATGACAAAAATAATTTTTATTGAAAAATAATATTGGGTTACTGCACTACCTAATTAACAAAACATAATACTACCTACCTAACTGGTTCTCATAATTTCCTAGTTTGACAATTTATTTTAATATTTTCAAAAATCTACATAACACATGCCAAGATTTCACCCCAGTTAATAAAATATCCAAGTTTGAAAAAGATTGGATTAACTTGCTTTAACCACAACAAATAATTTACGCTGGAGATGACAACTACGATAACAAGAACAGACGAATACAGTTTTGGTAATCTGATCTCGGTGATATATAAATTACTTGGCATTATAGATAGATGGATGAAAGGCAATGAATAGTTTAAAACTCTCGCACATTAAGATGTAGAATTATATGCAATCAAAGGTGTATAAATATGAGGGCTTGAAACTGACAATATAAACTCAATATGTAAAAAAAAGACAACATTTTATTTACAACTTTACCACTGTCCAGAAAAACTACACTAGTTTTGTTATCTGCAAGTGATTGAATTAGCGTAATATACTGTAGAATAATTTATTTTTGCTGAAGGGAAGATTCCGTGAAAATAAAATCCAGCGAATATACTTTTTTTCCTATATTTCACATTAAACTCATCAAAAATCAGTGAAAATAAATTCCATACAAAAGTCCCAAAAAGCCTTTTCAGCGAAAATTTATTCCAGCGAAAATAAAGTATTCCACAGTATTCATATATTAACAATAGATACATTTTCTATCACCAACACAAGTTTTGATTTATGCTTGTTTCTAACAGAGCAAATACAGTATATGTACTGTAAAATGATTAATTATTCACTTGGTTTTAATTTCGCTGACTGGAAAATGCGCTAAATTAAAACCCAGTGAATATGTAAAATTGAGGATAGAGCACATTATCTAAATAATAAAACTGTGAGTTTAAAACCCACAGAATATGCCTGAAATGCTAAATCAGTGAAATTTAAACCCAGCGAAAATTAGTCATTTTACAGTATTCATTTCACATACATATTTAGTTGCATCATCTACTGAAGGCTGACACTAATAAATATGACACCTTTTTATACCAAAGTTGACTTTTGTCACATAAATTGTTTTGATCAAGACTGGGAAATTATATCCATTTGATCCAAACTCTAGCAAGAAGTGATAGAAATATGCATACAAATGTTTGGAGGGATAAGTTCTGGCATTTAAAGCTTTAAGTGTTAGACAATTGGATCACAAACTAGATATTTTTATGGATATAAATTTTGTATGAATTACACCAGGTATATCAATCATAATCAATATTCATCTGACAAAAAAGACCATATGCGCATATATAATGAAGCAACTCAGTTGATTGGTCTTTGAGTTTACCCATTATCACCAATACAATTGCAATAATTTATCAGATTAAAAGACATTCTCATTGCATTATAAGTTCAAACATTGTTGATGTAACTGATGCCACTAAATTTGGATTAGCAGCATATGTACTTATGTAAATAACAGAGGTGTGGCGTTAGTTAAACGTTGAATTTCAATAATCTAGCATTGATTAAAATTGCTTCTAATAAATACAGCACATTTCACATTTTCCAGATACTGGTGCAATGTATGTAAGCAGACACCAACTATAACTGCATTTCAGTTCGTTTCAAATATCAACTATATGAGCAATACATGATTAGATAAGAATTGACATGCAACATTAAATATCACAGTTTATTTCTATGTGAACTTCACACTATGGTGTTCCTCATCAAACCAAATATGTAATATTTCATCTGTAATTTCCTTGAATGTTGGTCTTTCTTGTTGCTTAATGTTCCAGCATTCTAGCATCATCTTGTAGACTTTATCAGGACATTGCTGTGGTTTTTGCAGTCGAAGACCTTTCTTAATAAAGTCAATAACATTCAGACAAGGAACTTCATTATTTTTGTATATATATCTGGAAGAAAAGTGCAATAATGTAAAAGGTCACAGGTCAAATTATACAAGCAGCCTATTGTATGTTGCCTGGCAATCATCACGATGAAAACAAAAGTCAAAAACTTTCAGAAAACTGTATTTTAGGATAGTTGCTGAGACAAGAATACTCCTACATATTTAACATATATCAATTTTGTTGTTCAGGATTGCCTCAAAGTTGAGTTTGTGCTATTTTCTCACCTTTAGATGTTTTCTTAGAAATACAGTATAATGTTGTGCATGTCCAAAAAACAAAGAAAATTTTGTGATGTAGTCCTGCTACCACAATTTGAGTTCTTACTATTGGAAATATTTCACCCAGATTTGTTCTGTATTGGTGCATTAATCTGGATCAGCAGCGATTAATTGATAAACCCATGCAATCAGAATTCTATTTGAAAGCATTAACAGGGGAAATTCAAACGCACAATTAAAACCAAAAACAGAAACCTTGAAATGCAAATCAGTGAAATTTAGAACATATTATTTGCAATTCACACAAATATTTAAAATGATTGTAGTCTCAAGAATGTCAAGGTGAAGAGTGAAACTTTACCTTGGCTGTGATCCATAGCTGAATATCTCCCATAACAGAACTCCATATCCCCATACATCACCCTTGGAAGTGTACTTCTTATCTTCAATTCCTTCCGGACAATGCCTAGACAAGATGAAATATTTAACCCATTATAGGTAATGCATGACTATCATCTACAGTTTTTATTTTATAAATCAAGTACAATGTTTTGTTGAAAACTTTTTGTTCAAGGTAACAGTAGTTAGCATTGAAAATCTCGTCTTTTCATGCTAGTTGCATATATAGTGCATTTCCGCCATGGTCGTAGTCCAAATGACAGGGTTAACTTTCTATCATAATGACATTATGAACAACTGAATGCCATATCTTAGTGACAATTACTATGCTACCAATGATTGATCACCATCAATCAATCAAGTTGAAATATAAATGTAACTAGACCAGACAATGTGGCAAGCTATGGTCCAGACAATGTGGCAAACTATGGGCCAGACAATGCGGCAGGCTGTGGTCCAGACAATGTGGCAAGCTATGGTTCAGACAATGTGGCAGGCTGTGGTCCAGACAATGTGGCAAGCTATGGTACAGACAATGTGGCAGGCTGTGGTCCAGACAATGTGGCAAGCTATGGTACAGACAATGTGGCAGGCTGTGGTCCAGACAATGTGACAGGCTGTGGTCCAGACAATGTGGCAGGCAGTGGTCCAGACAATGTGGCAGGCTGTGGTCCAGACAATGTGGCAGGCTGTGGTCCAGACAATGTGGCAGGCTGTGGTCCAGACAATGTGGCAAGCTATGGTACAGACAATGTGGCAGGCTGTGGTCCAGACAATGTGGCAAGCTATGGTACAGACAATGTGGCAGGCTGTGATCCAGACAATGTAGCAAGCTATGGTCCAGACAATGTGGCAGGCTGTGGTCCAGACAATGTGGCAGGCTGTGGTCCAGACAATGTGGCAGGCTGTGGTCCAGACAATGTGGCAGACTGTGGTCCAGACAATGTGGCAGGCTGTGGTCCAGACAATGTGGCAAGCTATGATTCAGACAATGTGGCAAGCTATGGTACAGACAATGTGGCAAGCTATGGTACAGACAATGTGGCAAGCTGTGGTACAGACAATGTGGCAGGCTGTGGTCCAGACAATGTGGCAAGCTATGGTACAGACAATGTGGCAGGCTGTGATCCAGACAATGTAGCAAGCTATGGTCCAGACAATGTGGCAGGCTGTGGTCCAGACAATGTGGCAGGCTGTGGTCCAGACAATGTGGCAGGCTGTGGTCCAGACAATGTGGCAGGCTGTGGTCCAGACAATGTGGCAAGCTATGATTCAGACAATGTGGCAAGCTATGGTACAGACAATGTGGCAAGCTATGGTACAGACAATGTGGCAAGCTGTGGTACAGACAATGTGGCAAGCTATGGTTCAGACAATGTGGCAAGTTATGGTACAGACAATGTGGCAAGCTATGGTACAGACAATGTGGCAAGCTATGGTTCAGACAATGTGGCAGGCTGTGGTCAGACAATGTGGCAAGCTATGGTACAGACAAATGTGGCAGGCTGTGGTCAGACAATGTGGCAAGCTATGGTACAGACAATGTGGCAAGCTATGGTACAGACAATGTGGCAAGCTATGGTACAGACAATGTGGCAAGCTATGGTAGAGACAATGTGGCAAGCTATGGTACAGACAATGTGGCAAGCGCTGGTACAGACAATGTGGCAGGCTGTGGTCCAGACAATGTGGCAGGCTGTGGTCCAGACAATGTGGCAGGCTGTGGTCCAGACAATGTGGCAGGCTGTGGTCCAGACAATGTGGCAGGCTATGGTACAGACAATGTGGCAAGCTATGGTTCAGACAATGTGGCAAGCTATGGTTCAGACAATGTGGCAAGCTATGGTACAGACAATGTGGCTAGCTAAGGCCCAGACAATGTGGCAAGCTATGGTACAGACAATGTGGCAAGCTATGGTACAGACAATGTGGCAAGCTATGGTACAGACAATGTGGCAGGCGCAGGCTGTGGTCAGACAATGTGGCAAGCTATGGTACAGACAATGTGGCAGGCTGTGGTCAGACAATGTGGCAAGCTATGGTACAGACAATGTGGCAGGCTGTGGTCAGACAATGTGGCAAGCTATGGTACAGACAATGTGGCAAGCTAAGGCCCAGACAATGTGGCAAGCTATGGTACAGACAATGTGGCTAGCTGAGGCCCAGACAATGTGGCAAGCTATGGTAGAGACAATGTGGCAAGCTATGGTACAGACAATGTGGCAGGCACAGGCTGTGGTCAGACAATGTGGCAAGCTATGGTACAGACAATGTGGCAGGCTGTGGTCAGACAATGTGGCAAGCTATGGTACAGACAATGTGGCAGGCTGTGGTCAGACAATGTGGCAAGCTATGGTACAGGCAATGTGGCAAGCTAAGGCCCAGACAATGTGGCAAGCTATGGTAGAGACAATGTGGCAAGCTATGGTACAGACAATGTGGCAAGCGCTGGTACAGACAATGTGGCAGGCTTTGGTCCAGGCATGTTATTTTTCAAACTGACATAATGCATGTGCACATGTTTCCACCATTGTATTATATATAGAAGTGTACAAATACAAACAGGCATATATTATGCTGAAACAGTATTTTGAAATTAAAATAGCTGCTTGTTGAAACAAAACATAATACAGAAGAATGTAATCGTATACATACCAGATGATTGGATTTGGAGTATCAGTCTTCTGTCTGTAATACATAGTTTGTGGATTGCCAGTCATCACACGAGCCAATCCAAAATCACTGATCTTGACCAAGTCTTTATCTGAGTCTTCAGTATCTGATGTTACAACAAGAATATTTCTAGCAGCAAGATCTCTATGTACCACTTTTTGTTCTTCTAGATAATGCATACCCTGTCAACATACAAATTATTATTATACATCTGTCACCGTAACGCCATAAGTTACAGCATGCCGTAATTTTGCGGTATTTTACAGGTTATTTTCATCCTACCATATAAGGAAATGCAAATTCCAAATATGGAATGATTACGTGCGTAAGTGTCTTTTAATAATAAAAACAAACATGGCTGCCACCAGGATTTGACCGGTCTCCATACAAAGAAGTTCGATGATTCTGTTCTAAACTTTTTAGATTTCGACATTCCCATGATGTATCCTTGTTAGGAAAAGATGTATAATAATAAGGTTATTACAAAGATACCTCAAAGTATGCACTCAGACAGTACGCTGTCGCAGTGACCTCCGCTGAGCGTTGGTCGATACTGCCACTGTACTGTCTTCGTGCATACTTTGAGGTATCTTCGTAATAACCTTATAATAATATTGAAATCTATTGCAAAATCAGCCAAATCAGTTTACACTGATTTTCAGTTTCAGAAATCCCAAAATTCAACAGGTTTCCTTTTTGGGAACAAACAAACTAAATATGCACAATATTATTTTTCATTGTACAGACAAACCTGTCTATAGCGGTCAACCAAGGGACTTCAAAATTTTGGCCTTTATAGACAAGTGACCTTTCTATATAGGTTCACTAATTTATTCATGAATATTAATTAGGCATTGAATCAATGTATTAAAACAGATCTCGAAACCCCATTTGACACACACTATTACACTACTGTACACAGTATCCAAACACATTATTACAAATAAAAAATGTTGATTTTAAATTGTATTATGTAAACTGTGCACAATAATGAATAGTATGAAAATTAAATATTTGTAATCACTCAGCTTTCTTTGCTTAGCTATTCTGAATTTGCATGTTTCTTTTAATATCTATTGTGTCTGGTAACTGTTCTAATAAATCGGAGTGTCTCTGGGCTATAGCAAATTCTTTCAAGGAGAAGGGAGAAGGACAGTTAGCAGTGCTTTATTGATCCCTAAAACGTTACGTATACGAAAAGAACACTTATCTATTGTAGTGATGGATCTCCTTCCAGTTACGTGACAACTTGAAAGTTTCATCCCCAATCACAATTCCCATAACATTTTGTTCATTTTTTTTCAAAAATCTTCTCGACCTACCTCACTTACGAAATGGTTGATCCCTAATCAAAACATTACTTTGCGCAATCAAAATCTGTGCGACTTCCATGTTATTGTACTGATGCAACAATAGAAACATGTGAAATATGCCTGGCGACTTTGGCCAGTGAACTGAGGTCAATTTAACATCATTGTTAAAAGCATCTATTGTTAAATGTACCGAGGCAGTAGCAACCGAGAAAACAAAATAGTTGAATGAATTTAGTTGGACAACGAGACGATACTGCGCACACATTCCCTCACAGTGATCGATAGGCAGTAACGGAAGCGACTCTACTTTTTGAGTTATCATAAGAACAAGAACGTACATATGCAAGGCTAATTAGCATAATTTATTTGGATGGATAAACAACAGGCATGGCCGTTGCGTTGATTTGTTTCCTTTTTGCTATCAGTTCCAGTTACATGCATATTTATCGATATTTATAGGAGTTCAAAGTGAATAAATATCGATACTAAATAACAAGTGAGTTGTTATGTTTTTTTGTTGGTAATCAATTCGATCAGGGATTTACCGTCGGCATTCCGATTCACCCCAGCCACATGCATAGGAACAGTGACTGTGTCCCAGCAACTCACAAAACTTTTGCGGGTCGTCATCGTTGTGGTTGCTCGATTCATTCATTGAACAAAATTGTAAGTTATTCCCATGGTAAACATATTTCAACAAAACATTAATGACAGCATGTTTTTTTATCAAGGCACTTTCAAATTCTTAATTATGTTTTTGGCGTTCCATAGCCATCGGTACGGTGTGCTTGTTGTGGTAAACCAAATTATAAACAAGAATAAAACATAATTGCCGAAGCCATCGGTTGAATGAAAGATGTGAAACGTGCTAACTTTGACCTTTGTGAGCTTATTCGTTGTCTGAGGTGGGAGGCAGTCGTCTGCAAGACATCCGGGAACTATGTCCGTTATATGCAGTTCAACTGATCACTGCGGCCGCTGAAGCGTGGCCGTTGGCCGCGTTAGGCAGGTGGCCGCTATAAACAGGGTACTTTACATGTAAAATTCGTAGGGACTGTTTATATGTGACCGCTATAGGCAGGTGGCCTGCTGTATTCAGTTGGCCGTTAACACAGGTTTGACTGTAATAGTAGTGAACAATTCAATAATATATCTAAACGCTTTCCGTAAAAAAGATATTATTTATCACATGTATCATGCACTTTCGGTGTAATAACACCTGTGTGATATTTTTGGTATTACACACTTTGAAAGTGACGTCACACTTTAAGTCTGTGATGTGATAGGCCAATACAGCTAATTTCACCTTTGACCTAATCAGTAAAGTTAGTACTGAATTATGCAACACTTATAATGAGGCAGATTTTAATGACAAATTATGTAGAAATTATTACATATTATACTTATTAGATTTTTAGATTCTATATAATCTCTGATTTTATCGCTGTTGAATAAACAAAATATTAAAGATATTCATCACAGTCTCAATTCTCCCAACCCAAAAATAGTTCGGGCATGATAATGTTTCGTCTGCTGTCAATCGTACAAATTTGCATCTCAAAGTAAACAAACCTTCAGCTGATCGAACATTCGAAATCATGATACATATGGGCGACTTAGTCAATACTTTTGATATAGACGTGACAGAATTTATGAATGATGAGCAAGAAAGACCAAGTGAAGGTACGTTTACGTTTTTTCTTTCGTCAGAACTGATAAAACTGAGATCATGATCACTGGGCGTATTGTATGCTCGCATAATGCATTGGGTAAAAATACATCACAATACTGCGAGTACTAAATAAAATGATTCCACAACATGAATTTATTTTTATATTTATAATAACAAATGTAACATTTTGTTTTGTCACAGAAAATG